TGCATTCACTAAATAGGATTTGTTTCATAAGTTGTATTTTATGTGATGCAATGTGATTCAAAACGTCAAACAAAGATCATGACCACAAGGGTCAAATTTTATGTGATCATGTGAGACCATGTGTCATCTGACTCAAACAACCCTAATGGGCCATGTTACTGGTCAAAAATCAAAGTTAAAGCAAAAGAAAGACAAATCAAATTTGAATTCAAATTTAAATTATAAAAGTCCGTTTTGCCGCTTTTGGATATTTCAAAATCCATTTGGAATTTGGAGTTTTGACAAAAAGCAAAGTTGGAGCTTATTTTATAAGGATCAACTTTGGTATTCAAAGTTTTTCAAGTTTACATATAAAATTTTGAGTAATTTTGAAATGATTCAAATACTCAAATGCACCCCAAATTCAAATTTCAAAATGGAGGCAGAATTTGAAAATGTTCCTTGAAGCAAAGTTGTAGAGCTTGAAAAGTTGAGCAACTTTCATTTTTGGAGATTTTCAACTTCTTTAGAAAATTTGAGAGTAATTTGAAAAATAGACTCGATGGCGATTCGTAAATAATTCAAAATTAAGATTAACATCGCCGCCATCACGGCTTGGCCACGCAGCTGCCGCCTGAGCGTTTTTGGCGCCGCTTTCCGCTGTGCAGCAGCATCGCCATCGCCGCCGTGGCACTCTCCGTCGTATACCGTCGCACCAAGCGAGCTCATCCGGCTATAAATAGCCTCATTGCCACTATCGTTCCTCCATTTCCCCTTCCCTTCGCTCCTCCACCGGCTTGCGGCTTGCTCCGCTTCGCCGTAGCCTCCGTCGAGCAGCATCCGTCGTGCCCAGCTACGCCTACCTGATCGCCTCGGCCTTGCGCCTCTCTGCGGCTTGCCTACGCCACTTGGGTTGGCCGGAGTCACCCGGCGCACCTGCTTCTTCCCCGAGCCCGGTCGGAGCTCCGCCACCGTCAAGCTCGCCGTGGCTAGGACGTTCCAGAGTGTCTCCGACTCCACCGAGCACATCAACGTGTTCGTGGTGAGTCCCTGATCGTGTTTCACCCATCGCTTTAGACTCTACTGTGTTGTTGCCGGTGATACGCCGTGGGCCGCCGCGTTTATCGCCGCCGTGGCCGCCATGGCTGTCGTAGTGTCATCTCCGGTGTGGCTACTGCTTGTCCAAGGGTCGGGATAGGTCCGCCGTGAGGTGGTGATCATGTTGGTACTAGTCCCCTCGCTGGAGTCTCGCCGACGGCGTGTTTTGCCGGTCGGAGTTGGTAGCGCCGCCGCGCCCTGTCTCTGTGACGCTGACACGCGGGGTCGACCTGTCAGAGAGAGAGAGAGAGAACAGTGACCTTTTCTAATTTCTGAATTTTGAATAGTGCAGCAATTTTGCAATTTTGTAGGAATTTATTTACAGATCTAAAAATTTTGAAAATTTTTGGGTAGCTTCTATATATGTTCTACTATGGTTTAAAAATATGAAACTTGAAATTTGGATGAATTTTTAATGTTCAAAAATTCAGTCAATTAATTAATAAATGCAATTTCCATGATTTTTAAGGCCACTGTATAACTCCAAAAATTATGAAATTTATTTTGGTACACTAATTTATCATGAGGATGCTTGTGTAAATTTTTGAGATCATTTGGAGCAAGTTCATTTTGAGCTTAATTCTAAATTAATTCAAAAATAAATAAAGGTAAACCCTAAGTGTAGGTTTAGGGTTTGATCTTGATTTGGGTCGTGTGGTGTGACCAGTAGGGTTTCAAGATCCATTTGGTCAAGTCCCATGTATGGTTTTTGATGGTAGGATTGCAAGTTGGTTTTGTTGGCTTGCAACGGTACCGTGAAATAAAATCATTCGCGGGGTGTTGTTACATTTCATGTACTGTGAAAGCATCATGTTTACATTATCATCATGTTAAAGCATATGTTATCATTTCGTGTAGAACCCGAGAGTGAAACGATTCTAGTTGAACAAGTGCTGGAAGAATACCCGGTTGTCGCGGGATTTGGTAATTGTGGTACTGATTCGGAACCTGAGATCGCCAACGAAGGCAAGCCCGGGTTTATGCATTAAACCATTACCTTGTTTACTTTGAAAAGTTTATCACTTATGTTACTTATCGCATTAAGTTGTTTAATTCAAATGTTACCTATTTGCTGCATTACCTACCTTGTTAATTGTTTACCATCCTTGAAGATGATTTCATTTACAAAGGCGTAGAATTGCTTAGTGTGCTTTGTGGTAGGCTTTCAAAGTAAAAGTTTTGATACAATCAAAGATGGCATACTAGCCAAAGAAAGAAAGAGGATAGAATGAACTAGAGACTAGTCGGGTGACTTATCTTGAATGTTGGGTAATGTTGCCGACTATGTCGCTTAAAGGCCACTCATTGTGGATCTTCTGAACGAGACACTTTGTAGTACTGGTCACATACTCCGGTAAGCCTACTTCGGCTAATCCGATACTAAGACGAATGCCCACGCACTAGGAGTGGTGAGATGGCGGGAGTAGCGTGTACCCTCGTGGCTTGAATGTGGCCGGATTTGAGGTGTGTTGTGCTCTCGGGTGGCGTGGAGACGGCTTAGTATAGGAGGATTCGGTAGCGAGGTTGATATATGCAAGATTAAGTTCTACATATGTCGTGTGATAAGGAATCCCCAGCTGGGACTTGAATCAATTCGGATTGCCGGTGCTCCGCGGATATGGAGACTCGATTTATTACAGAAGCAATGCTGGACTGGTGAATTACTAAAACATGAGAAAAAGAATGGAATGAGAAGAATTGGAACATGGGATACGAACACTTAGTTGGAGATATTGAACTAAAATACTTAGTGGTAAAACTTACTAGGATCAAGAATAGTAAGCTTTTGGCAAAGAATTTTTGAATCTTTCTACATCCTTACCTTGACCCAACACCAGCATCCCTAAGACCTTTGTCCTTTTTGGTCGGTTCAGTCTTGTTGAGTACTTTTGTACTCAGGGTTTGTTAACCCTTGTTGCAGGGGAGACGCATGCGCAGGCTTGTTTTGGTCCCTGCTGCATGTCAGTGTATGAAGTCGATGACGATGAGGAATGATGAATGGCCTTTGGACAAGGCACTAGTTTGTGTGAAATAAATAATGTTAATGTAATATTATCTCGCTACTATGGTTGTATAACAATTATGGTTATGTAAGTTTGAAACAACTGGTTTGTAATATTAAACTTAAGTCTTCCGCTTTATTACCTCTGGTATGTATATTGAAAAATGTTGTAATCTGCAATGACTGTGATTGGAATCCTGTTTGAAACGTGGAAGATTCGGGTTTCCCGAGGACACCCGACAGACCTGTTAAGTTGTTGGGAACTTGTGAACGCTATCTGAGGTCTGTTGAGACATCGATAGGTGTACGTGGGCCCAATTTCTTAGGAGGTTCTGCCACAGTGGCACTATACCGGTTGGGAGGCAGTCGGTATCAGCCTATATGGGGCACCACCGATGATGGTGATCTTGTGGTTCTAGGTGCAGACGCTCTGCAGAGTTGATCAATCTGTATGTATAGCAACGTCCTCAGATATGGACATTTGTATGACCTACGCTTTCCTTAATTAGTGAGTGGAGTCCTTTTTTCTCTCCCCCTGGGTTCTTGTGTTGGATTCCGGCTTGGCCGATGAGGCAAGGCATGAGAGGGAGTTGTCCTTGTCGCCTAGAGAGTGTGAGAGTGGTGAGATATGTGTGATGGGATGAGAGAACGTGTGGATGAGATGGGTTAAAACTTGATGAATTATTACTAAAACTTGACATACTCGCATAGGAAACTACAACCATAAATAGATCTTTTGCTCTACCCTTGCATTCCACAACACAAAGCAAACACAAATGATAGGGTGGGAGCCAGTGGCCAATATAAATCGTACTGATAATTTGTTTGGTAGGTTCCGAGTCTGACTACGACTATCAGGGAGATGGTTGAGAGGATTAGAGGTCTTGTTCCTACGCTCAAGTTGGTTCGTGAAGATGGAGTTGACGCCCGCTGCCGTTCTACTTGATGCTGTTCTAGTTGCTGCCCACCAAGTGGCGATGTAATAATGAGTAAACCTTGTTATTTGTACTCTCTTTAAGACAGGTATTCGATATATGACTGTGATATCAACTGTTATTTGATAATGTGATGGTATGATCGCCTGTGAGTATCACGTTATACTTCAAATCTATGGATTTTTCTTCGAGGAAATCGGGTTTCAGTAGCCAATAAAAAACGCAGGATGACTAATACTATTTCTTCGGCTGTGCTATGGTCTTCATGGAAATTACGAAATGATATTTGTTTTCAGGGTGCGAAGTGGACAAGTCTGAAAGGAGTGTTGTTGCGGATCATGGCCATGCTCCAACAAGAGATGGGAAAGCAAATCGAGGAGTTCGCCACTCAGCTATAAATTCAAGCTACATCGCCACCGCAGATAGCATGGAACAATCCGGGAAGTACATCATCAAGGTTGGCGCCAGTGGCTGCTCGACATTTGGACTCCAACGTTGTGACTTTGGTTCGGCATGATCATCTGATGGCCCTTGATTGTAATGTAGTACTGAGTCTGTCTTTGGAGTTGCCTTAATTAAGGCTTTGCTTGTATGGCAGGTGCATCAAAATGTGGAGGTTACACTGGTGTGCTTTTTGAAAAATAAAAAGCAGGGGAAACCTTCTTTTAAAGTATACTCACATTTGAACTACAGGCTGTAAGCAATGGAATTGAATGTGCCAACACAATGAGAAGCAAAGCAACCCCCCCCCCACCCACACACACACACAAATCCTAGCAGCGTTTGGATGGTTGAAGGATTTTTATCTTACTTTCTTAGCACAGCAGCTTAAACTGTACAACATACACAATCCAAGACAGGCAGGTCAGTCTAATAAAAAAAGATCAAAGGAACCGCCAGTTAGTGTGCACAACAGAAAAGAGAAAACTATAGAATCCAAGCATCCAGCCACTACAGAAAAGCTCAGGAGGGAACAGAAAATAAGATCATTCATCCTGGGCCTGGGGTGGGGGCAGTGTCTTGAGCACATCTCTCAGAGCGTAATATATGCTTTTGCATCTGTGATCAGACATCAAATTACCAGACAACAATATCCTCTGAAAATTTTCCCCTGGATCACCTTTCCAGAGCGTGTATGACTCATCTTCAACACCGTTTATATCCTCAATATCCCTCTGCAGGTAATACAGAGTCCCAGGAAGGAAGAGATCCTCAGGCACAAACACATCATTTCTACTATCCGATGACAGCATCTCCATCGAGTTAGCTGGATCTTTGGTAACACCTGTCAAGGTAAAGCTAGGTCACAACTAGCACATAGATCAAATAAAACCAAAACACATTTACTTCTGACATGCACATTCCCAAATCAATCAAACTTACCAGAATTTGTCGACACTGATACAATTTTAGCATAATCACCAAGTTTACGCGCCACATCTTGAATTGACGAAACAACAAGCTTAGCATTAGTCACGATATCCACTATATGCTTCAAGTCTTCCTTTTCCAGAACACTTACCCTGCAAGGCCACATGGTACAGGCATCATCTATAAAGGGCCATCTGTTAACCAAGTGTTCTAACATTTAGCATGCACATAAATAGTCCATGCGCTAGGATGGTGTCCAAAAGCAACATATAAAAGGCAAATTATCAGTTTTCTTTCTCCTATGAAAGCTACCTGAACACAAGTTCTTGTCATTTACTGCCAGTCCAAAACTCAATACCTACCAATCTGTTTTGAGTATTTCATTTCGTAGTCTTGCCAAAGAAGCTGCACTGAGCCTAGGTATAATATCATCCTGCATCAAGTAAAGAAACAACCCAATTACAAATGACAAACAACTCAACAAAGGAAGACAACAGGAACCGGATTCTGAATCCAACAAAAAGATTAGGCATAACCTGGAGCACAACAGTAGAGACATAGCTCGCACAACTTTCAGCAGCTTCCTTTGATATGCAAGGTGGTGTTCCAAATCCAACAGCAGAGATAATGTCCGGACTGAAACCAAGATCTTCCTTCGACTTCTTCCGTAGCATTATAGCAAGCAACGCTGCCGATGCTCCTCCAAGGGAGTGACCTACCAACCATAACTTGTAGTCCTGCTTCAAACTTAAGAAAATGAACACAAGATGGAGAAGATGACAGATTCAATTGAACACAAATAAGTATACCTCCTCACCTTGTGCTCCTCACCTTGTGTTTTTCCAAACATTTTCTGATTATTCCCAGCTCATGGCGAAGGTACCAACGAGCTGCCTCATATGTTCCAAAGTGTGTTGAGAAACCTTTAGGTGATACTTTCTTATCGCTTAGAGCAATCAAATCAGTAACAAGATCATAGACTGTATGAGTCCCACGAATCCCAAGAATCACCAATTTAGTTCGCGGGTCAATGCCAATGTAATATCCAGGTCTCAAAATACTAGAGTCTTTCACAAACTTTACAACATTTCTCTTCCGAAGCATGCTATACCTTGCAAGTCCAGTTGCATTACCTTTATAACAACCTCTTGCAAGTTCAAGGTGATAAATTAGTTCTTGAACCTGGAAAAGGAATAGAGATAAATCCCTGTTGCAAGTGCATACTGGTGCACGTTACTTTGAGAAGCATAACAGTCTAAAGAGGCTGACACTCTAAATGCTCAATCATCATAACCAAAGTTACAAAAAACCATTTGTATTCTTCTTTTGGAATGGTGCTATAGGTATCATATCATACATACCAGTGGCAGACCCAGGTTTTTTCTAAGACTAGGGCATAGAACGAAGCTTAAAAATTTCATATACCAGGTCACACAACAAGAAGCAGCAAAGATAAAAAATTCACGGATGATATGATACCTAAACTCAATGTTTACTACTCCATATGTTCCAAATTATAAGTCATTTTGAAATTTTGCATAGTTTTATCTAATCTATGCACCTAAATATATATTATGTCTCAGAGTAGTTATGTCTACCAGGTAAAACTATCATAGCTTTATCTACTTTTTGCATAGTTTTATGCACCTAAACAGAGGGAGTAGATAACAAGGCAAATCAATTTTCGTTGGCATGGACCTAACGCCAATTCCTATGCATCTTCATTTGTAGTCCTTTTAAAGCTAGGAGCTAATTTCAGATTGCAATGCCATTCACGAAATCAATTCAGTAGCTGCATGTGCTTTTAGACCTAGCTCAGTTTCTTGCTTCGCAGATAAATGAGAGGAGATGGGAGGTGCTAACCACGCACGTTGGGTTCCCATAGGACTAGGGAGTCATTCGAGCAACGGCCGGCCACGAGCCGCAGCAGGGGATGCATGAGCGCACGACAACGGAAAGAGTCGCACGGGCATAGGCCAGCAGCTGAAGAATTGTGCCTTTGCTGACCACTGGAACAGCCACAAAGAAGGGCGCGCTCAGCTGGGGAACAACAGCAGACACAATGGAAGGACAGGATCTACGAGCTGGGATTGGGAACATGAGGGAACCAGGAAGGAGCAACACACTACAGGCGAGCACCTGAAGCAAGAGATGAGAGAGGATGATCGAGGCAGTCCATGGTGACGATAGATAGGCCAAAAATTGAAGATGAGTACTCAGACATTTGGTCCACGCCCTAGTGGCCATAGTTGGAGATCCGCCCCTGATGCGTACCCATGTAATCCTTGTTTGTTAGTACCAAAAACGCACGCAGTTTAGAAACTTCAGTGTGAATACAAGCCTGCAGGACATACCATCTTAGTGGAGGATATCTGAACGCCCTTGAAAGCTTCGTTTTTTGAGGATGCTTGGCTGAGGTAAATGAGGTAGAGGCCAACAGTGAGATCGCTGAGGCTCCAGTCCTTTATGCTTATCTTACTTCGCTGGAGGTCACTTAGGATCTCACTAAATGTCCGAGTGCTTGCAGGGATGTTCTCCGCACTACCAGAAGCTGCATTCAGATAGTACAATTTTAACCACTTCCTAATTGTGTAGCATATCTGGAAGTGCAGCTTTTTAATTGTGTAGCAAAGGAAATAAACAACAAAATGGTATCCTTAAGGTCGTCCTCGGATCTAATGCTTATTGAACCCAAGCAGCACTGAAAAAGCATCTTGATTTCTCAGTTATGGCTGCAAATTGTCAAAATCCCTATTTCCCATTTTACAACGATTCATTCTATGCAGGAGTTCCTCATAATATAATTCATATTACCAATGTGGCAATTCGTAAAATTAGGAATGCGTCAGATGGAAGGATCACAATGATGAGGCAAGATAGGTGTAATGATAGAATGTTAGAATAGAACAGCAACTGAAGTGGAAGAGACGAACACGCGGAAGGCTTCCAGCTGTATTGCTTGTAGAGGTCCAGTGCGGGCTCGAGGGCCTTGGAGAGCCACGCGACGTCCGGCCTCCAGCTCCTCCACGGGAGGCCGGCTTCCTCGTCGTCCTCCTCCGACCCATCCCTCCCGACCTCCGCGTCCTCCCTGCGGTTCGTGGCGGCCGCCTCCACCAGGACAGCCGCCGCCGCCGCCGCTTTTTTGCCCTTGTCCTCCGGTTCGCTAGTCGTCGGAGTGGGCGGGCCGCGGGAAAGTAGGCGGGTGAGCGCGGGAGGTAGGATGGGGCGATCGAGCTTAATGAGGCGGGCGCGGGAGAGAAGGCATCTCGCCATGGGCGGCGGCATAAATCAGGGGCGGTGAGCGAGAGAAGGGAGGAGACGAGGGTTCTCGACTCGACTGGACTATCTTCTATGTTCCGACAAAAACTGAGGTCAATCCCAGAAGTTGATCCGTGGGGAAAAAAATTTAATCCAGTACGGTTTTTTTTCAGAAACTATTGAATAATTATAGATTTGTGTCTTACTTTCAGTAAACTCCTTTTTTTTCAACGAACTTTCAATAAACTCCTAGGATTTATTATTAGGTTTCTTTGATCGGTGCCATTGTAATTTTTGAAGTTTGAAGAAATACTATTACTATTTATATATTCTAAAAAGGTGTTATTATAATTCTTCCTCTCTTTGAAAAATGCCATGCTGTATGTTTTTTTAGCCTTGGGCCCAAGTATTTCTATATGGACTATATTGCCCTCGGCTACTTCCCTCAGCCTAGTCACTGACGAGCCAGCCCCACTCGTCATCCCTTTCCTGTGCTCTTCCCATGGTGGTTCTCTTTCCCGTCGGCGCCGCCCGCCTCCTCGGCCTCACCTCCGCGCTCGCCGACGACCAGGAACAGCAGGATCCCCAGCAAGCTGAGGCACCTCCGTACCTACACCCTCGACTACAGCAGCTGCGCGCGGCCATGGGCGGAGCTCCACCGCAGCCATGGTGGGGTGGAGCTCCCGCGCGGCCCTGGTGGGGGCGGAGCTCCAGGCGCACGCTCGCTTATCCGAATGGCAGCGGCCAGCAGGAGCTACGCGCGGTCCATGGTGCCTGTCAGCATCCACGGCGCGCCGTTGGTGATGGATCCCGCGGCGGGGCCGTCGTTGCCGGCCGCACGCTGACGATGATGTCGTGCTCCATCGCCTAGAACGTGACGATGGCGATGAGGTCATAGTTGAACTGCGCGCCATCGGGGGCGCTGATGGAGGAGAGCACGTCAAGGCCATTCGTTGACAGCGGCGTCCAGCCCAGCGACGAGTCCATAATGGAGCACTGGCTCCGCGTGCACACCTTGTAGATGGCCAGGTGCGCGTGCAGCGCCATCCCGGACGTAGTGACGTGCGCGTTGCCCTGCACGTCGACGTTCTGCACGAAGTTGCCCGCCACCGTGCTGGTCATGTGCGTGCCGTGGCCTACGTGCAAGGGAGGAGCGCATCAGCGTGCGCCCGCTCAATCTCGACGCCACTGCCTTCCTCCCTGCCGTCTTGCATCTCGCTCAATCTCTCCGCCCTGGTCACATCGGCCACGCTCCAAGCCGAGGCCCATGCCGCGCTGCGCAAGGAGGAGCCAGCCCGGCTGGCGTTGGCCGTGGGCGCACTCCGCTGGTCCGCGCGGGACCTCCTGCGGGTCGAGTCCTCGACGCGCGCCGTGGCTGCCAAGACCCTGTCCGTTCCGCCCACTGACCTCCATGCGCTTGAGACGGAGGCATAGTAGGCACACGTCGTCGAGCTCACCTCCGACGACCGCCTCTGCAACACCAGCGGCCGAGCCCAGTCCGACCCGAACCAGTGGCCCACCGTCGTGCAGGTGCGCCAACGCGCATTGTGGTGGCCTCCCTCGCCTCGTTTTTCTCAAGGAGAAGATGGGGAAGGATGTCGCTCTCGAGAGGAGATGGAGAAGGAAGGATGTCGACCATGGCAGGTAAGAGGAGAGGAAGGGGATGACGAGTGGGGCCCGCACGTGAGTGACTAGACTGAGGGAAGTAGCTGAGGGCAATATCATCCATACAGAAATACTTGAATTCCCCATACGCTGCAGCTGTCAAGGCTCCCAAAGACGTATAGCGTGGAATTTTTGAAAGAGAGGGAGAATTATAATGGCGCCCTTCAGAATAGGTGAATAGTAATGTTACTTCTCCAAACTTCGAAAATTGCAATGGCATCAATAAAAAAACCTTTATTATTTGGTAAAGCTCTAGCTCTAGTTAAAACAGTTGCATCAGCTTCACCTTTGATAGTTGGAACAACATTTTATACCGAAAATAGTCTCTCCTAGTTATTGAAATGGGTGAAATGTTAAAGTTACCCTTGTCTTTTTTTTCTTTCTTTTCTTTTTTCTTTCTTCTTCTCTCTCCATCTTTTTTTTCTTTTTTTATGTGCTCTCCCACATCTCCACCGCACATTTCATCAACTTCAACTTCCACCGCACCACACGCCTCCCGTTCTCCAACCTCCTCCACAGCATGCTACCCCGGTTGGGCATCACCTTTCAGATCTCGATTCCCTTGCACTCCTTCCTGGTATCGACGCGCTCATGCTAGGTGGACGGCATCAAGGTCAACTTATACGAGTCTGCGCGTCGTGGTCGCTCGAGACTGTAACACCTCTGGTGTTAAGCAACCACTAAAACTGGATCATGTCATCATCATGCATAATAAGCATCCATTGTAGCTAATCATGTCTTGCATTCACTAAAAACAATGCTATTTTGTTGGTTATGCAATGCATAAGTGTGGTGTGGTGTGTGAGCTAGAACCAAAAATCCTTCCAAGGTACTTTATAGCCTTCTATTTTTGAAATTCACTAAAATACTTGGAATTGTGCCCTAATAAACTTTGAGGTGTAAAGTGTGTACTTTACACTAGTGTCAAGTGTAGGATAGGAATCCAAGTCCAACCCACTAAAATTTGAGCTCCAAATTTGAAATTAAAATTGAAATTCAACACTTGATCATAATTTGGCTAAGTATTGGATTTCAGTATTAAGTTCAATTTTGGGGGAATTATAATAAATTTCTCAAATAAACATGTTACAAATTTTAGCATCATTTCCAAGTATGAAGTTAGTACTATGCAATGGTGCTATTCGTTGTAGTGTTTGATCATTAATTGATCACCAATTGAATCACCAAAGTTGCTACGTTAATCAGTTTCCAAAAAACCCTAATGTGGCAGAACCGCCTAATCTAATGTCCTCCCAAGAGTACTTATCTTCTATTAGACACTAAGTGCCAAGAGAGTGCACTAAATCATGCCATTCCGTCGAGCACATGTAACACCTCGGGTGTTAGCTTTGCATAACTTGACTTGCATAACATGAGCATGAGCATCAAGCATTCATAAATCATCATTTCAATTGAAACATTCGATCGAAACATATGAAACATTGCTTGTTATCTCGTATTTCTTGGAACATATACATATGATCATGAGTGACTAATACATGTAATGATTGTGTGACCTTGTGAATTGCTTAAACATGTTTAGAGTATCCTTATAAACAACTTTGATATTCATGGCTAGGGCTAATTAGGTCATTAGGTCATAGCCCAAGTGGGTACCATCTTTTAAAAGTGACATGTTTGACCAAGTTCGAAATAGGTGCTAGAGACTATGCATGTATGTGGGTACTAAAGCAAAGTTGTAGTATGTGTCATGGAGAACAACTTTCTTTTTGGGTCATGAACTAATAATGTGCATAGCCTAGTCCTTTTAGCTCACAAAATCGAAAAACAACCTTTTCAACACTTCACGAAATTTTTCTAAGTCTTGATCATCGACAAAGGTTTGTCGCCACCGACTTTGGATTGGATTTTCTCCCTAGTCTGTTATTTAATTCGAGCTTGATCTTTGAATAAGAGTTGTAGCTGGTACCTTGGGCTACTTAAACTCATGTTGGGCATTTGCACGAAGGAGCCACGGATCAGCGGATTTATCGACTTGAAACGCTATTTGTCAGAGCCTCTCCGATCAGGTCTGAATCGATCGAATCGATCGGCGACAGTTGGTCGAAACCGACAGAGCAGCGAAGAGCCGCGTGGAGGTTCCGTCGGCCGTCAGCGTCGCCGTTCTCGACGACCAGCAGCCAGCCACACCGCTACCGAGCGCGCCTTCATCACGCCAACGCCGCCCGCACTCACCACGCTCCTTTTTCACTTCACCTCGGTCTCTTCGCCGTCAGGCGCGCCAGCATAAGCATAACCGCCGAACTCCCCCATGGCGCCATCAGTAGTCGTTGACGGCACAAGCCTCGCTTAGCCGCTTATCCATCACCGCAACCAAGATAGCCGCCTTCCCGCGACTCAAGCGCCACCGGTGTTGCTGCTTTTAAGCTCGGTGAGCTCTAGCCCCGACACCGCCTCGCCGGAGTTCCGCCGTGAGCCTCGTCGTCGCCGCGGGCCACGCCGCCACGCCCCCTCTCCAGCGTTAGCTAGCGCTTAGGTCCGCCCAGAGTACCGGTGCTCGTCCGAACCTTAGGTCGGGCCACCGAGGACGTCGCCGGCGTTTTGCCGTGGTCCAGCCTCGCCGTTCCGCCATGGCCGCCGCCGCTAGCTCTAGGGTCAGCAATAGGGCCGGCCAGGTAGCTCAATAGGTTCGCCAGGTCGTGTAGGTCCTACCCTGATGACCTCACCGCCATGGCTCGGCGTCGTCGAGCCGCAGCTGCCAAGAAGGTGCAAGCAGCCGCCGCTGCCTGCTGCTCCTCTCCGTCATCGACGCGTGGGGTCCCCCGACCAGCGGGTCCCACCTGTCAGCGACAGAAGTAGTGCAGGCTAACTCATTTTGAATGCAGTTTTTGATCTGTTTTGTTATTTTTGTATCTTTAGTTTGGTAGCTCCTAAAATGGTGAAATAAATATGATTGTGTTGCTTAGGAAGTGTAGTATTTTGGAAAAATATGTTCTTGGTTTCAACAGTAGAAATTTCTGGAGATTTAAATAGGGATTTCAAATGTGCTTTTGAATGCATTCAAATTTGTTTATTTTATATCTAGAGTTCCTGTGCTCCAAAAATTATGAAATTTTTGTGGTGAACTAATCTTAGCATGTGTGAACTCAGGGAAAATTTGAGGATCAGTGCATGGGTAGATTTAAAGTTATAGATTTTTCTTTTATGACTAGTTAATCCTTGCATGAATTTTCATAAATTAAGTATGAGTCCAAAATTCATGAAATTTGTTGGAGGTGATACTAGTACCATATGGATGCTAAGAAAATATGAAATCTGTTGTTTGACACTTTTCAATAGGATTTTCCATTTATGCTATTTCAAGCCTTGCTTCCTTATCATTTTTGTATAGGATGTTCTACTTAGTAAAATGACATGAAATTTTTATAGTAGTCCTTTGATAGCATTAGTAAGGCTCTGTAAATTTTTGAGAATTTATTAAGCACATCTGATATACATTTATTATTTAACCTAGATATCTAAATAAAATGATAAAGGCAATTTAATAAATGGTTTGGGCTTTGCCATTTTATTATCTTAACTATGTTTGGTATGCTTAAACTATTGGTAGGTTCTAGGTTGTCAAATTTTGAATGATTACCTGAAGTAGAAGTATTCTTACTTTATGTTGCATGTCAAGTCATTTCCGGACTGATTCTAGAATGTGAGGATTTGCATGTTGAAACTGATGTGTACTGTAAAATGGTTAATAACAAAGTTGTAGAAAATTTGATAAGCTTTCCAGATAGTCCAGATCACTGGATTTGGATTTGTAGAACTCCAGTTATGAGCTAAACAAGTAGATACTGTTTATGGCATAGTCGATGCTTTGTAGAAGTAGTTAAGTAGTAAGCGAGAAGAGATATGCACCTACTCAAACAACGTGATGCACTTGTTAACATATATGCATTCGTAATACTTATACCATACTCATGCATCTAGGATCGGAGGAAGAGATCACGTTGCTGGAATTCGAAGAAGCAGAGGAAGGGAACCCGCAGGAGGATCCGCAAGCCGTAGCTCCCGAAGGCGTGAGCGAAGAACCTCAAGAGCTTCCCGAGTGCCCGACCATCGCCTCTATTTCCTTTTTCTCATGAGGCAAGCCCGAGCATTATAAGTCTCCCAAGAATTTACAAATGTTTAATTACGTATTTTATGATTGATGCATTAGGTTATAAGAGTTGAATGAAACCACTTGATGCATGTACATTCCTTGTCCAGATATTACACCTTTAACGCAGATAGGTCCGTGGATCGAATATATGCTTAGCCATGCTTAGACCGGTAGAAGTCGGTGATTTTTCGCCACCGCGAGATATAGGTGGATACCGGAGCACGATTGGTCATAATTGTCATTGTGGAAAAGAACCATGGTTAATGTAAATGGAGACCAAGGCGGGATGTCGATAGAGAAACAACAAGGCATGGAGGTCTTGGGTGTGGATCTATCCTCGTCT